TGTTTACATATTTACAGTGGAAGGCAAAACGATCGGGCACATGATCTTTCAAGTAATTTAACTCTACATTGAACAAGTTGTTTTCTTTCTTCTAAAGCACATCCACAGTAATCATTGTTTTTGATCATCAGATACTAAACCTGTCTATATTTTACTATTTTTTTTTTTACAGAACTGATAGGTTGACATATCGGCTTAGAAGAGAATATCCACAGGTCTCTTTCCTTGATATATGCGACATCATCTACACCGCTACTTTATCTGCTGGAGGTGTGGTTGAATCTCTGGCGACTTCAGAGGAGGATTCAAAACTGAAACTTTGGCTTAGAAAGCAAGACATACGTTCCATCCTGTTGTTATGCCGTTACTGCACAAGATTTGATGAGAACTTTGATGTAGTGATAACATTTACTTGAAGTTGTATCAGCATGACTAGTTAGCATTTGACATTATAATGAAAATTATGAGTAACTCTAGATTTCAAAACTACCTAACTGTATCCTTCTGTTCATTAGTGTTGGTTTTATTCATTTTAATTTTTTTCAATTAATAAAAAATAGTTCCAGTAGAAAGGAAATTCTGTGAATTTTAACAGTGAGACTAGCCACATATGACAAGCCAAATCACTTTCTTTAATGTGTAAGCATGCAAAATAGCATGAGTTATGGTTTTGTTTTCTTTTTATTGATATACCTGCAAACATTTTTCGGTGCTAATCAATGTATCAATAAATAAAAAGCTGAAATTTTCTTTGACAAAAGACTGATCTTAAGGCTTTTCTCTAAACCAAGATGGTTGTTTTGATTAGATAGCAAATAAATGTACAATGGTTGATGTTTGAAATTATTAAACCTGACTCTGACTTCTGATGGTCCTTTGATTTATAATTGTATTTAAAGCCTGTTAGATTTCCCAAAAAAGTAGAAGGTTCTTTAAGTGACGTACCTGGTTCACCACAGCAGATTCAGAGGGTTTGGGGGGCATAGCACCCATTTTTTTATTTTTTTTGTTATATGCGTTAGTTTGCTTTGTTTAAAGGGACATGTCTTGTCTGCTTTCCTGTTTCTTCTGCTGGTTACATGTCCAGGTATTTATTTACTCCAAAGACACCCCCATTTTGGGCACCCCCTCACTTTCATTAATGATGAGCTGGTTCCACCACTGCATTATAAACCTTCAAAATTATTGCATTGTTGTATGCTGCCAAATAAGTTAGATTACAGTGAACTATTTTTGGAAGAGGGACTGTGGTGATGTCTACCAGATGACCAGATGAGAAAACAAAGGGTCATGTTCTGTGTGACCCAATTGCCAATGTACATAAAAGATATTTTTTTAACTCTAAAATCTCCTGGGTCAGATTAACCCAGAATCTGAATCCAAATTTGCTTAGTCCTTTTCTGGGTAAAAAAAAGACACATTTCAGTCAAAATGACCGAGAAACATGTCTTTTTTTCTACTCCAACATGTCCAAAGGGGTCATTTATGACTCCAAAAGGGGTAAATTTTTGACCCGGAAAAGGACTGAGCAGACTGAGTCTGACCCAGGAGTTTCTAGAGTGTAGGATGTGACAAGCTATAGTGCTGTACGTGCGTAGTTTTGACTTTGGAAGTGCCAACGCAAGGCCTCAAACCGGAAAATGTGGGTTTTTAGCATACATACATGTACATAACATTGGCAAACTTTGATGAAGTGTAAAAAAAAACTGCTGCATATTTGCTGGAGAACTTTTGACATAGTGTTTGTGATGTACTGAACCCCACATATGTGCATTAAAAAAGTAGACCCAGTGTTGCTGGAACGAAACTCATTTTACAGCCGGTTTTGAGTTTCAGCTGACGGCCTACTACGGTTTTACTCACAGGCATGACGATTTTACTCACAGGCACGACGGATTTACTCACACGCACGACGGACCTGCTCACAGGCACGACGGTTTTACTCACACGTACGACGATAACAGAGGTGTCCTTTATAGTACACCATAGCAATGTGATTTCATTTAAGTTCGTGAAAGAAATGTGCACTGTGTAAGACAAGTTGAGGAAAAAGTTCCGTACTCAATCGCCACTTTTTTTCAATTAATTTTCTAGCGCCAAAAGTTACATCCTTTATGGTTATTCCTCCACTTTCCCTCCTCTACTCTCACCCTCTCCTTTCCTTAATTTCTATTTATTAATCAGTCAGTTACTTCATCGAGATTCGAACCTCTGACGCTTGCTTGATACACAAGACTCTTAACCGCTAGGCCGCGCACGATCGCTGTTGCAGTAATCAATCTTTGGACGTATTTGAAGTATCCATTGAAATAAACTAAATATTCATGAGAAAATAAATATTCATAATGACGTATTGCATTATCATTGGCAGGCTTATGCGACGTCATGGTTGTTGATGTCATGCGTATACCGCTGTCTTTCAGCGCTCAGCCACTACAATCAGTTTTGACCGGCTGCTTCAAGTTAGTTCTGCACGACGTATGCATCCAAAATGTGCTCTAAAACACATTTTGAGTAATTTTTTTTCACCTTTACACAGCTTCCTGGATTTCTCTTGGTTCATATGACAAGGTGAGGTGACGATTAATATGTTTGGCAGCAGATAAATTGACGATCGAGTACGGAACTTTTCCCAGTTGGAACATCCCAAAAACACATTCAATATTTACCGATTTCTAAGTTAACCCTCCGGGATCCAGGACAGTATAGTTTTTCAGTACCTCACCAGAGCGCAGGTATTCACTAAGGGCACATGCACGTAATACACTGTGTATGGAAAGCCCAGTGTGATCAGCCGAGCCGAGCGTAGCCAGGAACAATGCGCCCACGTACCGGTACATGTACGGTTAACAAAAGCCTGTGAACTGTGCTTGGAAAAACCTATTCAACCAAGAACAATAAGTGGTTTGGCTGAATATGTTTTGCCTTTAATGACTAAGAAAGGTTCACTGAACTTTCCCTTCTAGAAAAACGCACCATTCCATGCAAATTTTGTAGCAAACGCAAGTGTATGATGAATGAAATGTGTACGTGCAGGAATGCGGCTCTAGCTGCTTCCCAGCACACAGCCTTTCCTATTCTAGGGGCTAGACGTTGTTCTTGTTTGCTACACCGATAACCGGCCACCGCTATAACCGGCCACCGCGAGAGGGCGCTATCACGACCAACCAATATCACCCACGAACCTGTCAGATCAGAACAACGTCTAGGGTACTTGCTATTGGTTGCATAATGCGCGCGCATCTGTTTTGCCTAATGTATGTAGCGCGCATTATATTTGTTGCATAATTACCCCAAATACATGCTTATTATAGTCTAGTTCCCTGACGTACCATACCGCGCCGTATCCCGCGGATTGAATCATGATGTACAATATGTGCGTATACATGTTACGGTGCATGTACCAAGGTGACCGTTTTAGCCCATTTTCGGCTAACTTTGTCGGCTAACTTTGTCAGAGTTTGACAGAAAATTTGACAGAATCGATTTTTTTTGGGAAGATTTCTGGCAGAATTCTGCAAAAATGGTTGTAAATTTAATTTGCTGAGAACAGCAAATTTGAACAAAAAATGAACAAATCTGAACAACAAATTTCAACAAAAAATGATACATATTTGTTTAAAAATCTTCAATCCTTTAAAACAAACCCTGGCATAATGGGACAAGTTGGCTGGTTTAGGCAGAGTTGTAATGACTCGAGTCAATTACTCGACTCGAGTCCAACTCAAGTCACAATTTTAGGTGACTCGACTCGACTCGAGTCCCTAAGCTTTTGGATTTGAACGCTCGCTAAAGTTATGGCCTCCTTTTATAAATTTTGGTATACATAGTGTTCAAATAATCGTGACTCGAATTGACTCGAGCTAAATATTTGTCTCGAATCGAACTTTTGACCTAATGACTCGACTCGATTCGGGTCACTTCTTTAAAATGACTCGACTAGACTCGAGTCACAAAAATCAGTGACTCGTTACAACTCTGGGTCTAGGTGCTGAAGTTCACTGGGAAACGTCGTCGTGGCCGAATCTGCGTTTTGCCCGAAATTTACGGGATAATTTCATAACATCTTTATGTGACTATAGAATGCTTATAATGTAAGTTGAACCTTAATTATGGGTAATACTACCAATCTACATGTGATTTTAAGTGTTTATAGTGTATTTAGAGTTATTCTGGGGAATTTGGCAGATTTTTGATAAATCTGACAGATTTTGTATGTGCATTAAGCAGAATTTAGCTATGACCTTAAGGTCACACTGATGTGTTCGTGTGCTCTTGTATTGTATTATGCTCGTAGACAGACAACAAAAGGAGCACAAAGGAGCCTTTGACCCTCGGACGACGGTGCCTATTTGTTAAAACCGGTCCTCGATCGTACGGTTATGTGCTTAGTCTATGGGAAAGTGTTATATTAGAGGGACAAAGGAAAACACAAAAGTTGACCTCAGGCGTATAGTAAAAAAAGACTGGGTGTGGGTGTACGTGTACGCCGCTATACTTTGGTGTAACATACTGCGCTAAGTTGGAAATGGCAACTTCTCCGCCATTTCTCCGTCGTATTTTACGAACCAAACAGCGTGAGCGTACTGCAATGCTACCCCGTGCGGGCCCGGCGCCTTACACGGCCGGATGGCAACCCGCAGCTCGGCCGACAGCAGACAATTATCCACTGTATGTCTGAAACGTCCAGCATAGTATAGCGAGCTACCAGACTATTGTGCAGTTTTGTGGCAGATCTGTTTCGTGAGTGCGCGTGCGTGAAGAGGAAATTACATACAAAATTGGCGCACGCGCAATAATTTCCCCCTTTTTTTGGGGGGGGGGGAATTTAAGCAAGTACCCTAGACGTTGTTCTGACAGGTTCGTGGGTGATATTGGTTGGTCGTGATAGCGCCCTCTCGCGGTGGCCGGTTATCGGCGTAGCAAACAAGAACAACGTCTAGCCATAGACTTAGCCTTTCCTCAAGCTGTCGCTATAGCCGTCAGCCAGCGAGGAGGGGTTAACCAAAACAAACTCCCACAAAACCAAATTCCTTGGCAGCTACACTAACCTGTACAGTGAGTGTAGTGTAAGGGTTAGACTTGTCAATATCCAGGTTGTGTTCAGCAAACAGATTCTTAATCTTGTTGCCAATCTCCACAAGCTCATCAAAGGCACTCTGGGCATCGTTCAGGGTGGCCTTGAATTCTTCATGCGGTTGGATCAGACGCTGAGAAATTAAACAAACAAATCAAATAAATGGGCTTCACAGCTTCTAAGTTCATCAAGATATTGGCTCATACATGTATCAGTTTACCTAATGGATTTCTTGTGACCAAAATTTAGAATAAACTTGAGTATGACAAAACAAGTCAGAGTAATCTATTACTTTATATCACAATGTAGATCTCTTCCACTAGAGGGATTAACCTTACTTTGAATGTACCAATGTATACTGATGTGTCTGACATGCAATAGAATGCAGCAATCTGAATTTCTTATCTACATGTGAATTCTCTAAGATCGCAACGACACGATATCTCTACAAGGCATGAAGACTTTGCGCATGAAGTACTTCTCCCTACATCGTTCAAAAGCCACCAAATGCGAGAGAATTTGCAAGATTGAGGAAGGCACAGGCTTGCCACTTCTGGTTTGCAAAGGACCAGTTTTTTTTTTTCAACCATTACAGAACTCAATTTTTCTGCATAGTGGCAGATTCTGAAGGAGTAAGGAAAATTCCTTGGAAAAATGTCTAGAAATAGGAGAACGAGTTAAGCACCATACATGTTTTATTCTTTGAAGGGAGAAAACCAAAGGTTTAAAGTTTTCCGTGCTATAATTTGGGTTTCACGTGAAAAAAAAATATTTTTTTCAGTTGCTTTATCCTAGCAGTATGAAGTTATTCACTTTTTAATGAGACATCTAACCCCAAAAAACCATGTTTAATTACTGAGTTATTGCTTCCCGAAAAATCAAATTATTGGTTGCCTGACAGTATTTCAGCCTTTGTCGGGGGGTTCTTTAGTGCAAAAATAAAAGCTATTTTTAAAGGGTTGCAAGATGCTCAAAATCAGATAAAAGTAGTTTTTTTTTTATTAAAACAAACATACGCATTGAAAATTTGTTAGGGGGAAAACAACAAAATTCCATTTTCTGAAGAGCGCGGGGCATGCAATTTTTAAAGCCCATTCGTTGAAAGTTAAGCCAACTCTGATGTTACAATATTAACTCACTCTGATCTCATCCACAGTATGCACACTGAAGACATCCACCAAGTCTTCGCTGGCTCCTTCCATCCAGTTGTTGAACGGCGCAGCTTTCTTGGCAAAATCTAGGAACAGGCTGTCTACTCTCTGCAAAAGATCTTGTATAGTCTGGAGAAATAAAAGACAAAAAAAAATGTTTGCATTTTCACTGACGTCCATCGGTAATGATGGGCCATTGACAAAAAGAAGAAAATTATGCATCAAATTGTTCAAAGTATTACCAAAGTATTAATCTGTATGAAATAATCAGAAGAAAATTACAGTCAAAATTTAGACAATTTTGTTTGACACAGAACAGATTACAATTTTGAAAACAAAATAAAACCGAATCCCCTCCAAAAGACCCCCCCAAAAAAAAAAAAACCAACATCTTTTATCGGTCGATCCTCACTTTCAATCTCTGCCAGGAACCATACATGTAGCAAGATATGTGACAGAGGGTAACACCCCCCCCCCCCTTTTGTGTTGGTCAATGTGTTACCAGAATCTCAGGAATTCTTGCGATATATCTAGGGGGATGTGTATTAGGTAACAATAGTCCAGGGCGTGTACAGGGTATAGGGAGCTGTGGGGGGGGGGGGGGTAACCCTCTGTCACATAGCGTGCTGGTATACCCAGTTTTAACAGATCACATAAACTGCACATCATATACGCACAAAAGGTAAGACGCAAGCAACAGCTTACTTCCAATGTCTGTCGGCAGGCTGAGGTGAGATTACCGAGTCGGACCCAATGATCACAGATAGACTGGCATCGTGAGTTGATGGGTCCTATGTCATGGTACTCCAGGAGACTGAGGATAAGCAATGATGAAAGTCAACTCAACTATGTACTTTATAAATACAGGCCTGTAAGTACCGCAGTTATTATACAAATATACCAAGGCTTGTGGGTTGACAGTCGATACTAGCTCCACGAGGTCCACGAGGTATTGGAAATTGACAAACTAGTTCCCGAGGCAAAGCCTTGAAAAAAAACCCCGATGTTATCGTATCTAACCGAAATATTTACACCATATTATGTTTCTTTGTTTCCACCTTATACATATTCACCATAATTTTGAGTTATGCATCAGTTATCCCGACTAAATGTTGCTGTACGCGTGCCATCATTTTTTTTCATGCAGCAAGGGAGATGTTTGCACATGTGCACTACCACCCGTGAAATAGTTCCAGGATTGCTTGAAAAAAAAAACCCAAAACACATGTGTAGTATTAAAGACTATTGCCGGGGCAATCCATGCGATAGTCAATTCACATGCGTATTTAACCTTTGCGTGATTCCTTGCATGTACGATAACAAAACTAGCAGTTGACACTGTATTTGATTTGATCAATTTTGCTATGTTCACAAGTGACGAGGCTTACTTCATTTCTTGAGCAATAGCTGCGATCTGTTCCACACGATCTTGATGGGCTGCCAGGCCACTCTCAAATGCCTTATGTTTCTTCTTCAGGGCCTGTATGATTCATGCAAAGAGACAAGATAAGCAAATTGGCAAAGCTACAGATGGGTCATTCCATGTCAGACCAACGCACTTTTTTACCTCATGTCTTCCGATTTTGATAAAAATTGCTGTGCTTGTAGGTCCTGATGAGCAATGAATGCACACCAATTTTTAGCCCAATCCGACCTACCATATGGTCAGGGCAGAAACCACAAAAAAACGGACTTTTAAGGAGGTCACGTGACCTTTAATATGCTATCGTGACTTTTGACCCAATTTATGTACTAATGTATCATTCCGAAAATCAACGAAATGAAAATGACTTGATGGAGCATGTCTTCCTCTATCAAAATCCACTAAAAATCAATTGGGGTCTTTCAAATTTTTAACTTTATGACTATGTTTGTACAGTTGGTAGGTTACAAATGAGTCAATTTATAGACTTTACATTGGAAATCCACCCACACAACTTACTATTCTGTTTCTAAAGGTACTTAAATTAATCTTGGTTTGGGAATTTCTCATGTTTAGGGCTGATGAGGTATAACTAGACTCATAATATAAATTATCAGCAGTGGCGCACCCAGGATTTTGCCTTTTTGTGTGGGGGAGGGGGGGGGGCTCATAATTCGTTTGTTTTCAAATTTCTGTAAAAGATTGAAAAAAAATACCCCAAAATCAAAAAAACAAATTGACAACCTTGGAGGGGGGTGGGTGGGTTCCAGACCCTTGAGCTCCCCCCCCCCCCCCCCCCCCCAGTTACTGTTAGGGTACGCAACAGCTCTATGCTTTCTACCCGGACCCAGTACAGTGGACACAGATCCAGGTGAAATTTATCTCGAAGGCAAAAAATGCCAAGTCTGTGAGACTCATTAAAGTTTATAGAAGCGTAGTGATGAATGAGTAACGTAACTTTGAATGCGATATTGATTATTAGGCCAAAAAAAAATAAGTTGGTCTGTGGTCAGCGCGCGAGTCGATTTTAATCATGAGCGTCAATCTTTTTTTTTTTCCAAAATGTTCCGCGGTAGCTCCAACAGCGTCCTCTATTGCCGCACCTCCTCAATTTTTTTTTTTACCAAAGAGCACCAAGGAATGGGAAATTGCACCAAGGCAAATAATCGAGAGCACCAAGGCAAATTATGGAGGACACCATGTACATGAGGACACCAAAAAAGCAAAAAATACCACACCTTGTCTGTACAATCCAAGCTTGAAGAAAAAAAAAAGCCAAAAAAAAAAAAAGCTACGTCCTCGTGTCAATTCCGGAACTTTGGTCTGACCAGAGACCGATTTTGTTTTGGCCTTATCTTCAAGTCACCTTGAATCCTAGACCCTGATTAGTCCATCTATAGCAAGAACATTGTGATTTGATATAATACTGCACAGCTATATTGCGCCCAAGATATCGAATGTACATGTATGTGTATAATGTATGTAATGTGTGCTTTTTATTTGCTGTTGAATGGTTTGATACACTATGCACCTACATCCCTCGCCACGTACAATGTAAGCATTCGACGTCAAGTTTGCTTGGATGTCAATGTGTTTTTTGTAGTGCATCGGGTGGCATATGGGTCACAGCAGCATTGCATTGTTTCATATTCCAATAGCGCTCGTGGGGTAACTAAATATCAGTGGCACCGGGGGGGGGGATCGAGGGGTTTGATTTTTTTTTCAAATTTCTGTAGAAGTTTGAAAAAAAAACTATGACCCCCCCCCATTAAAAAGCAAAATCCTGGGTGCACCACTGCTGATAATTTATATTATGAGTCTGGTTATACCTCATCAGCCCCAAGGGCGGATCCAGAACTCAATTTTTTTTCGGGAGCCAAACAAAAATTTGTCCCCCCAAAAAGTGGGTCAAAACAATTACGGCGTGAGGTTCGGGGCCCGCTTAAGGGCCCCGAACATGTTTTGGATTCTAGATGCTCTGTGGTGCGATCTGAGGCAATTTCTGATCACTTTAACCAATGTTTTTTAAGAAAAAGATGGTGGTGTACTCATTGCCTGCCTTTATTGCGATGTCACATAAAAAAAAAGTTGGTTTCGTTGGGTGGTTTTTTTTTTTTTTGGGGGGGGGCATGGCCCCCTTTTGACCCCCCCCCGGATCCGCCCTTGATCAGCCCTAAACATGAGAAATTCCCAAGCTAAGATTAATTTAAGTACCTTTAGAAACATAATAGTAAGTTGTGTGAGTGGATTTCTAATGTAAAGTCTATAAATTGACTCATTTGTAACCCACCAACTGTACAAAAATAGTCATAAAGTTGTAAATTTTGAAGACCCAATTGATTTTTAGTGGATTCTGATAGAAGACATGTTCTATCAAGTCATTTTCATTTCGTTGATTTTCGGAATGACACATTATTACATAAATTGGTTCAAAGGTCACGATAACATATTAAAGGTCACGTGACCTCCTTTTCACAAAATTTAATTTTGAGAAAAGAGTTGATTTGAGCATGCAATTCTTATTATTTTGATACCGAATTCGCATATATTCATCATAACCTACAAGCACAGCAATTTTTTATCAAAATCGGAAAACATGAGGTAAAAAAGTGCGTTGGTCTGACATGGAATGACCCAGATACAAAACGTTTTCAGCAGATTCAGTGTCAGTTGCAACAATCAATTCTCTCTCCACTTACAATACAAATGCACCTCTGTGTAATAAAATTGTCAATCTCTGCTGAACGCCACAGGGATTTTTGAGACAATATGCAGAGTCCGTATCACTGCTCTGAATATACTGAGCAAGCTGGCAATAGTTTGCAATTACCCGGTTACCAAGAAAAGTGAATGCCACTGCTTTCCCTCAAGTTAAAATCTTAAAAAGTTCAGTAGGACATTGTAAAATATTAAGATGCCCTTATTATTTTCTTCATTTTGTGACTGTGTTTGGTATTTAAATCGGTCCTTTATGAAAAAAAATCCCAACAAAAACCTGTTCTCAACTGACAGCAACTGAGTTCACCTGAACTCTGCTGAATTCCAAGTATTTTGAACAGACTGTATTTTCTGTTAGATGTCACAATTCTCAGGCGTGAAAAGAAACACCTCTCTAGATGATTTTTTTTTATTCAGTAGACTTTCCAACATTAGTGTTTTTAAGACTGCTTGACTATGCAAGATATCAAGAATGAAGCGAGTCCCTCCTCAACTCATTAGATTTCTCTCCTAGCAAGCTGAAGGTTGTGTGGATTGGTCGCACCCAAGCAAGCCTTAACTCTTAAAACACAAAGACTTTTGAACAATAACATGTTCATGAAGTGCAAATTGTTTATTCTAATGAGCCAACCCGCAACTTACAAAGATTTCGCTGAGCTTGATTCCAGAGTAGTCATTGTTCTCCAGATCAGGGTCCTTGCCTTCAGCCCATCCCTCGTGGATTTCACACTTATGACGGAACTTCCTGGCCAAGTGATCCAGACGCTCAAGTCTGAATTGAATCAAAATAAAATAAACACATTCAAAATAAGTTAACTACTTTTGTAATAACTGGGCTCAATTCCCTGACGAGTGAATATTGCTTTGCAAATTTATTGACCAAGTAACAGTAGCAGGGTTTCACCTTCTCATTTCTGCTAGCAACCAGTCTTCAAAGCCACGCTCAGACTGCTCCAGAACCTTCCAAGCTTTGGCAATGTCCTGTTAAAAACATAAGACACACAATATCAAGTTAGGACATACACGAGGATGACATCTACAAGGAGATATTTGACAACAAATGAGCATCATACAATAAACAATACTATCCTACATGTTTTCATAGTCAGGTTGCATACGGTTGGAATCGTGACCGATTGGTCCAAAGCACTAAACTTGGCAGATATATTCTTATGGCCCCAGAGAAGATATTTAGAAGGGATGACACCAGAAATTCGTTTGGGAAGGGTGCCTAATTTGCATAAAGCGTTAATCCCTGCCGTGTAATATATTTATTCCCATATTTGGTTAGATGTTATTTTTTTTTATTTTTTGAAAAGTATATTTTGGGGATTTTACTTACATATCCTTACTTAAATAACATTTTCTAAAGCATATCAGAGACTTGAAGATTTTGAGGACATAATAAAGATCCAAAATGGCTGCCATTATACCCTAAAGTTGCGCGCATTTCCTTTTCCCTCTTATATCACCAAGTAGTCTTGCCAAACCTCAGTATTGATGAGCTTCAAATTCACAAAGATACTTACTGGCACAGTTACCCCAACAAAAATAAATGGGAAATCATGTGAAAAATTATATCATCTTGATATTTAGCCCACAAAAACAAAGAGAGGGGAAATGAGGTGTCCGTAAATAGGGCTAAACATTAGGCGAAGCCTGCCTAACGTGAGGGACTTGATCGTTTTTGTTTTCTGGGTTAAATATTACAATTTTATCATTGTTCACATGATTTTCCATGAAGTTTTAATCGAGTTACTGTGCCAGTAAGCAACTTGGTGAATTTGAAGCTCATCAATACTAAGGTTTGGTAAGACAACTTGATGATATCTGGAGACAAGATAAATGCGGGCAACTTTATGGTATAATAGTAGCCATTTTGGATAGTTACTTTGTCCTCATAATTATTCAGTCAGTCTTAAATGCTTTAGAAAATGTAAGTGAAGTAAGGATGTGTAAGTGGAATCACCAAAATATACTTTTCAAAAAATAAAAAAATTAAAAATATACTCAAATATGGGAGTAAATATATTACACGGAAGGGATAAATGATTTATGCAAATTAGGCACCCTTCCCGAAAGAATTTCAGGTGTCACCCCTTCTAAATATCTTCTCTAAGGCTATAACAATATATCTGCCAAGTTTGGTGCTTTGGACCAGTCGGTCACGATCTTGTCAAAAATTGGGCCTAAGCCACCTGACTATCATGGATGAGTAGACTTGTAAAGTTGGAGAAAAAACTGAATATTGAAGTTCCGAAGACCCTTATGTGGCTGCTATGGCCCATATCGTATGTTGAATAATGAAGATTCTAAAAGCTATCCAATCTTGGTGCCTGTCATGGAATGAATGTTACCAGCTATTAAGTTTTCGTATGAGCATACATCTCTGAACTGATTCATGAACTTGCTCAAACGTTATGTGATTCTGTTTACAAGTATTTGATTTCAGTAGTTTAAATTCATCACTGGGTTGCAGCTAATTCTAATGACCGTTTTGCAAAATGCAAATGGACTGTTTTTAATACTTCCATCACGTTTGTCAATATTCATAGCTTATGAAGCTTGTAAGGGTCTCTGGTACACATGGAGGCAAATATTGGCACATTTTGTAAATGTAGATTTTCCTTTCTTTTCTCAATTTCATGACTCAATGATTCTTTTCAGAGATATAACAAGCTTACTTTGTCACTGCCTGATCTATTATATCTTAATATTCACTTAACCTTATTTACTGTTTTATTTTACTGTGAATATATTGCGCCTAGTATATGCCATCACTTTTGGAGAGAGAAAAAAGAACTACCGATACCTCGCGATGGTTAGGACCCAACATCACCAGAAAAAAAAGGGGATTTTGTTTCAAATACTACGGAAACCTTGCTTTGTATCGAGAAAAATGAAGATGCGTCTTCATAGTTTTCTCAAAAAGTATATCTACTGAGCTGACATTTTGACAGGTTAGTTTATTAATACCCTAATTCAGATTTATTGCATTGATGCTTGAATCAGCAAAAAACACACTACTTTTTTGCGAATGTGTCTATTACCTTTTAATGGGAATTTCTAACAATTTTCAAACTAGCGTTTTTATCCTTTTTTTGTTTTCCAGTTTTGGCAAGACTGGCTGGCAACAATTTGTGGCAGATTATCCAGGTCATCCAGGGAGGGGGTTATTCTCCAGGGTTCAGCTTTACATGTGCAATAAAACTTAAGTTCTGCTAAATGGACAACATCTGGCAATCAATCAGGAACTGAACTTCTCTTTATCAATTCAACATTTCACTTCCTCATTAGAAACAATAAACATTACAAATGTAAACCAGGATATATTTAATGTTTTATGGGTGGAGTAAGCATCTTGCCGGAGTGATGTACAGACTAACCCTGTGTAGTTTATAAACAGCTTTACAAATAAAGCCCTTCAAAAATGTTTGCTAAATATTTTGTCGATATACAAATAAACCTTAACTCTCTAATCATTTCAGCTAAGATATTTCCTGAAAAAACAATGTGGAGGAATTAACCTAATGGAACTTTCTAGGGACATCAAGTCTGAAGTAAACAGTGCCCGTGCTCTGCCTGTCTAAATCCAGAGAAATTCCACAAAAACCTCCTGGTGGCTGATGGAGGCTCTTAGATGATTGGGGTTAATTCTTTCACTTGACGTGATTTACATTTTCATAACATCTGCATTATCAGAGAATGCCATAGTTTTGCCAAATTGACCATATGCCTCCATTAGGCTGATCCAGGGAGGGGGGGGGCAATCAGGACCATACCCCTCAAAAAACTTTTTTATTTTATTTCCAGGCTCCCTTGCAAACCATCAGCAACACATACCTTTTAGTACGTGTAGTAATATTACAATGTGGAAATAACGCACAATATTATACATCTAATCCCCTTCCCTGTATCGATTCTTTTTTTATATACAATGTATATATTTGAGCCCTTGTGCCTCCCCCAACCCCAAAATTTTGTTCTAGATCGCCGTTGCATGCCTTAAGTCTAAGAATGTGTGCAGCCTAAGTGAGTGTGGCAGTGTTGTAGTCGAAGTCCATCACACACCCAAAACATGTCCATGCCAAGCATGCCCAGTCATCCAGTCTCGAGCCACGTTACACCAGCTACACATATTATAGTGAACTTTGACACAAGCAGTCTGTTGTAACTCTTCATTCACTGTTGCTTATCACACTTGCTTAAGGACTTTCGATTGTAAGTTTGTGACTGATGGCCAAGTGATCCAATGAACTACAATATTGGAGTGTGGTTCATGTGCCACCTGTCTTCTGACTCTGTTTAGCAGATCAGTTTATGAAGAGCATTCCACAGAACCAAAATACCAGGTATAAAGTGATGTGTATTAACATACGAAGACAAAACATGCATGTCCTCCTGTGGGGGTAGACATGTCTGTTGTTCAAAAGCAGCTTGGTTTTGTAGTATCATTTCGCATGGTATAGTTTCTACTTTTTACCAGAGCAAAGCATAACACCTACCGATACCATTTTGCCTTCCTGTGGGATGTAGGCAGGTCTGTTGCTCAGACGCAGCTTGGTTTGCAGGGTGTTGTAGTTAGTCTCCAGTTGTCCTTTCTCCTCAGTTTTAGGAGGCTTCTCTTTGCCGCGATAATTACGGAACTCATCCAGTTTATCCTACATGAAGCAACATCAGAGTGGAAAATAAGAAAAAAAATTGACCTTTGAATGTTTGGGATACAAGTAGCATTTTCTCAGTAACTTTATTAAGTCAATACACAATTCTTCCTTTGTTTTCATCTGAATAAATAAAAAGAAAAGAAAGGAATGTCAGCAATGGAATGAAAAGTCGGGAATGAAACTTGGCTTTATATAAAGTGTTGGGTAATTCCCAAAAATAAAATTCTTATTTCCCCCCCCCTCCTCACTTTCTTTTTAGCAATATCTGAAAGCCCATCTTGTGAATGTATTATGTTATTCTGTTGTAATGCAAACATACTGCAAGAAGCTTGCTCTAGTGTCTGCACAAAAGCGTTGCATCTTTCCAGTATGCAGACTTCAAGTACAGCAGACATTGCATACAGTGAACATATCTGAACATAGTTTTTAGAGTCTACACGTAGATGTCATACACCTCTTCATCAAAAAAGGACAGAAATTAGAAGTGGACATGAAGTTGAGTATACCTGTACATCAGGCAGACTGTTTTCTGACAGAGTTCTATCCTCAAGCCATGGACGCCTACGCATGATCCACTCCAACAACTGAAGGACATTATTGAAAAGGTACATGATTGTCAAATGAAAAACAATGAACCATTTGGATGTCAACTGCCAAATACACAATGATTTCAAAAGTTAAGGGAATTAACCTTCATCATTTTGATTGGATAACTAGATTATCATAAAACATTTTTTTTATAAAACACAAAAAAAAAAATTTAAAACCGGAACTCCGGTTAAAACCGGAAAAGTGGCATCTTTGATTTATAGGGGTAATACATGTATGTCAACAAATAAAGAAAAAAATCAGTTACACCTTACGGTGTGAAATCAATTCTACCTTTAAAATCAGAAAAAAAATTGTTGCAAGTTCTTTGTCTTTGAACTTTCACATAGCATCAAGTCCCACGTAAAGTAAAAAAAAAAAATTCTCCAATCCTGTCAAATCCTCCCAATTCTCGTGAGTTTTGAAGGATCTGGCAGGGCTAGTGTGGACGGTTATTTTAGGCTTCATGAGGAAAACGTCTAATTTAATTCCTTGAAAGCAATTTGAGGCCCTTATTGTAAAATACCAATTTACAGAAAACACTACTGGTTTTCTTAATCAGTAAAGACAGAATTGCGGTCCTCAAGTCTGCTACTCACATCACTGGCCAGTCGATCATACTCATCCATTAGTCGTTCATTGTCTTGGTTCATTCTCAGTACTTTGCACAGACGGTTGGCTGCATTCTCTGCCTGTAAAATTGAAAGAAAATCATCAAGGCATCAAAACGCATAAGGGTTTGCATGGCATCGCACCTTTAAACAAGTGAGGGAATATTTCTAACAGCTAGGGCCAGAGGTAACAGAGCATACTATCTGAAATGTTGAGTTCCCTCCGGTTCTTTTCAGAACCACACATACTCACACAAGAGATTTACCACATGGTGCTACCGCAAACAACTTATCTTATTACCTTTTTACTTTGCAATGTTTTGTTGTTTGAGTGAACCTGAAGTCCACTACAGTCCCTAACGTACCTCACGATACGCCAGACGTTCGCCGTGGAAGAAAGTGGGTTTTAAAACCGTTCAGGAATGTGCTCGTTGGTGGACTTGACGACCGGTTAAAGATCCAGTAATGTCAAACCCGGCACGAGGGGATAGGTAGTTCAAAGACACAGAGAGCACACAGAGAGGAAACAATAAGAACTCAAAATGCACGCGATAAACTCACAGTTCTGTGGTTATAATTTGTTACATTTCGATACTATTTTAAAATTATTCAGCTAAGGGAATTCCGGTTGTCTTGAAGAAACAAAGGTACTAAATTGAGTTTTAAGTAATATTATAATTTATACTTGAAGGAACAAAAGTACTAAATGGAATTTTTAGAAATATTATAATCTATACAATATTTTACAAATAACCAAACAAGGTTAGGAATGTTAAAAATTGTATTCACTTTGGAGGTTAGCAGATATGGTTTGAGTATATCATGAGCCTATAATTTTTACAGTTTTTACAGATAAAACTTGAAGGCTGAGTTTCAAAGAAACTTATACAAGACTGTTTACAATTATAATGTCTAATGAGGTTATCGACTGTTTTTAATCGATACGAATCAATCGTTTATAACTATTTATAATAAAATTCGGTGTAATGTTTAATTTAATACAAAAGAAGGTTGGGTAGAGGTAACACCGCACCATGTCTCACGTAGTGAGCTGCTACCCGTAATTTAGTTGAAAGTTGTTATTTTAATGAGTGAACGCGATCTTTTTCATAGTGAATTACATTCCGGTATAGGAATGGCTGTCGGAGGATATTTTTTTGCTTTTATAGAAGGAATGACGGCGCCCACACACCAGTGGCTGCTGTAAGACATTTTTTAGAAGGAATTACGCGCCCACAAACCTGTGGCTCTTGAAGGATATTTTTTAGAAGGAATTACGCGTCCACAAACCTGTGGCTCTTGAAGGATATTTTTAAGAAGGAATTACGCGTCCACAAACCTGTGGCTCTTGAAGGATATTTTTTAGAAGGAATTACGCGTCCACAACCTGTGGCTCTTGAAGGTAATTTTTTAGAAGGAATTACGCGCCCACAAACCTGTGGCTATTGAAGGATATTTTTTAGAAGGAATTACGCGCCCACAAACCTGTGGCTATTGAAGGATATTTTTAAGAAGGAATTACGCGTCCACAACCTGTCGTTCTTGAGGGATATTTTTAAGAAGGAATTACGCGCCCATAAACCTGTGGCTCTTGAAGGGAGTTCTTCATAAGGATGTATACACCCCAAATATATTAAAAATTTAAAATGGGTAGAGGTAATATCACGTCTCACAATCATAGTTAGCGGCTGTCCGTAATTATTATTATACTTTGAAGTTAGCAATCTTCCTTTGCAGTTTGCGGCTTGTACAAAACAACTGTTTTAGCTTAGGGTTGTTGGTGATGGAGATGTTAACGCCATATTTTGGGCCCAGTAAGCCGGTGTACTTTTTAGGGATTCTTTTAGCTTGTATGACGTTATCGCTGGCTTTGTTGAACGGGATTTTGCAAAGAATTGCATATTTCGGCGTTTTAAAAGTGTGTAATCTAGTGCAGGATTCCTCTCTGTAATCTAGGGAATTTTCTTTATTTAATCTATTAGGGTAACCGCACCTTTTAAGTCGGAGTCTGAAGAGTTGGAGTATGTGATTATATTCATTATTATCTGCTCTATGTGTCTTGTACCGATGACATTCTCCTTTGATGATGCCTCGAAAAACACAGGAGTTGTGATTAGATTTGTAATTAACATATGTGAACTTATGAAAGGATTTTTGGAAGACACGGTAGTGGATTCTATTATTCATTAGAGTGAAGTGGTTAATAGACAGGGTAAGATCAAGAAAATTCATAGTTTTGTTGTTCACAGAGAAGTTGACAGGAATTGATTTCGGGTAGAGGCCCGCTAGCGTTTTGATTATGTCTTGATATGAGGAAGTGGGGTCGTTGCGGAAAACAATTAAACCGTCATGATCGATGTATCTAACGAAGAGCAGTACATTGGGGGATCTGTGTGCAGACCAGAACAGAAATTCTATATAAGCTAATACAAGGTTGGTGAGTTGTGCAGAATGGTAGCTCCCCATTTGAACTCCTTTAGTTTGCTTGGAGAGGTTGATTACCAATAGAAAAATGGCTACAATCGCTGGTAAAGTTATGTAGTTTGGAAAAATAGGAATAGTATTCGTAAGGGTATTCACAGGCAGCGCTTGTCTTGAAAAGTGTTTCCTGGATATCGTGAGGTGTGATGTTTGTGTACAGGCTCTCAAAATCAAAAGAAATAAATGAGATATCATCGTGGTAAGAGACTTCCAAAGAACTAAGTGAATCTATTAATTGAAGGGAGTTGGTGATGATTGGCCAAGGAATATCCTTTTCGAAAAATTTGTCTTCAAATCTGGACAGTAAAATGTTGAGGTAGAAGCCTAATGTTTTGGATACAGGGGAGTTAATCCAGCTGTGCGCAGTTATTATTGGCCTGCCTTTAAGTAATTTCTCATTGTCGGGAGAAGGAGGTTCTTTTAACTTGTGAACTTTTGGCAGCAGATCCATTGATGGTATATTAGGTTGACCTGAAGAGATGAATTTGTTTATTTTCTGAAGATCTGCTTTTGCACACGGAGGGGCTTGGTTCTTGAAGATTAAATTTAATCTATTTTGTGCGGTTTGGATGAGGGCTGAGATTGACGTTTGATTGATCTTGCCTACATAATTATACGTGTCTGATTTTATTTGGCGTTTATACTCTTGGATGTACCAGTGTACACTGTTGAAGCAAAGACCCATATTCTTGTCGGATATCCTGATGATAATATTTTTGTCATTAGCTAATTTCTTAATTTCATTTATTTCATTGGTCGTTGTGTTGTGGAGTGAACCAGCGTTGTCTTTTCTGAGAACATTCTCAGGAGTGGCGTGGATTTCTTCAAGAACGGAAAGGGAGTAATCAAATGTGTTTCTATATACATCGGGATTGCTGATTACTTGATTGAATTTGGGGGGATTAAATTTCCGTTTAAGCTTAAACATGTCGTTATGCGAAGAAGGCAGGTGATAATTCCGATTTATCTCCAGTAGCATAAGTTTCTTTACGGAAAGCATTACTGATTTATGCAACTCTTTCTTCAGGTCAATCTCGTCTTCATTTGGATCAGTGGGTATGAATGAGGGACCATAGTTGATCAAGGTTTGTAGATTGTCGTTGACTTTCTTCCCGGTGAAATTATGAAAGCGGGGGGTATCATCTTTAGCTTCTGAGTGGGCTAGTTTATCCATTGTTCTCTGTCGTTGGGTCTTGAGTTTTTTTCATTACAAATTCTTTGTGCAATGAAAGTCGTTTATCAATCAGAGCCTTGGCGATATTATAATCACGGGAAAGGGATTTCATTTTATATTTGTAATTAGGGGGCATGGAGTTACGTAATTGATTAATTTCACGGTGGAAGTGTGCATTTACATCTTCTGAGATGGATTTGATCTCAGACTGGGTGGCATCGACAAGTGACTTAAGATTTCTAATTTCTGCAGACGTTTGTCGTTCAAGGTCTTCCTTAACTTTGCAGTTATTAACTACGCTAATTCCATGCTTGAAGGAAGATTCCAGGGTGTACAATTTAGGTACGTATTTATCTAGGAGGAGGCAGTGCTTATTAATTAAGTTAATATGTTTCTTGAATATAAGTGACGGTTTATGGCTGAACCGCTGCCAGGTGGAAAACTTCGTGCAGGATTTGACAAGTTCGACCGTCTTCGCGGTATTGAAGTGAGGCATCTGTGAGGATTAAAGTTTAAAGGATACAAGGGATTTAGTATTCATTGTAAAGGAATCAAAAACGCTGCGCTTGAGAAGGACGTAAACCCTTGAGAATTATTATATTATTAGATGATGTTAAAGGCTTATGGAGAATGCTAAAAGTTATATGGAAGCCGGCTGATAAAAGTTCTTAACGGTCTTATTTCATATTTCCATTGCAAAAAAGAAAAAAGAAACATGTTTTCCAAAAATGGCAAGAACTCGTCAGGTGCAGTATGCCAGACCATGGGTAGTTTTCGTCTCAAGAGACTGAAGGAGTCAAAAAGACCTGTGCAACAACAGAGTTCCAATTAAGGAGAAAGTTCCCTTTGTTGTCACTTTACACCCCTCACTTCCCCCATTCGTACAATAACCAGTTCTAACCATCATATTCTTCACACATCAGATCGACTTCAACGTGCTGTACAAGAAAAAACCCATAGTTGCCTACAGACGGCCACCCAGTCTCAGGAATCTCATTGTCCGGGCAGAAGTCCCCCCCCCCCCCTTAATGATAATGTTGACCCCCCTTTGCCACAGGGAACTTTCAGGTGTCCCAACACCTCCAAATGCATCGTCTGTAGACAACACATCAGAGAATCGGACTCACCCCCCCCCCCCCCATACCGGTGGTACCACCCATAGGACATGGGGTCATGTCACCTGCACCACCACTAATCTAATCTATTTAATATCTTGCAAAGTTTGTGGTGTTCAATTTATAGGTGAAACTAGAACTACACTCAAGAGACTTTTCTACGGCCACAGATCCACAGTCAACACCAATAAGCTGGATACACCCGTAGGACATCATTTCAATCTTCCTAATCACTCCATTTCTGACATGATTTTACAGGGCATTGAGGCACTAGGAAACCACAGAGAGATTGTTCGTCCGAGTAGAGAGAAATTATGGATAAGACGTCTCCAGACCATTCAACCCCATGGTCTGAACATCCAAGAAGGAAATGACTAATAACTTTTTGTCTTTGCCTTCTCCTTTTCACCACAGATAAGACCCCCCCCCCCTCCAGTCTGCCTCATTCACCATTTAACTACCTTTCTCTCCCTCTCCCCATCATTGACTTTGTCCTTTGTGTTCCCCACCTCTTGTGGTCAACCATCCCCTTCCCCCAATCCCCCTCCCTTTTGTTACCCTCCTTTCTGTTCAGCTGCCTGCTTTCTCTGTGTATTTTCCTCTGCATCATCTATTTCCACTTGACTGCTTTTGTTACATCAGTAATGTATACATGTACCTGTTTATGTTTATAGTCTTGTCATTTAGCCTTCGAGAAAGACTCTGCTAGGGTCGAAACGTCAGGCCACTCACTATTTGTTTGCATTTATACCATAGGTCCTTTTGGTTGGTAAGCAGTTTGCAACAGCTAATTCTGCTTTTAATTCAATTTTTAATTGAGCTTTTAACCTGCAATTTGGTTACACCTCTATGTTCCGACACCCCTATGTTCCGACTGCACATATTCCTATTCCTAACCCTAGCCCTAACCCTAACCGGGAGTAACACAATCTAGGTTGTCGGAACATAGGGGTGTCGGAACATAGAGCAGTCACCATCAAATTCGCTCTGTAAACTGGGACTGCTGGACATATCTCAGTCTGTAAGATATATTCTGGGTTTTGATCTGTTGATCTCCTTGGAGGATATTTCCTAAGAAATGAATAAGAGCTATCTTTACCTTATGAATAATCGATGATTTTCTTCGGTCGTTACGTAGCAGAATAGATGAATGCTGCTTTTGTCACCATCACAAATACTGAATACCTGACTGATACAAAATTATATACAACGGCCATCAAAGAGGAAAATTCCCTTACCTAAAACGAAAGCCGAACACATAAACAGGACTGATCACAAAATGGACATCTTATCCGTCACAAGGGACTTTCCAAGTTTCTTGGAATATGGTCGATGCATAATAATAATAATAATGAATAATAATCCATCTATTAAGGCGCTCAAGGCGCTATAAACACAAAACAATCTAATTTACTCAGAAAATAAACATAATACCAATAGAGAGAGAAAACAAATTACAAATTTTAAAATAAGAAACAACATCTACACTCTGTTGGTGTCTAGGTGCATTCTTCCCACGTGAACAACATGAACGTCGGCCTTCATCGTCAGGCATCTCCAATTCAGATGTAAACATAAAGATGTGACGAATGCACACCGACGCCCACGCCGCTCACGTGATCAGAATGCACCTTTCTCAGAAACAATAAACGGAATGAAATTTTTAAAGCCAGATTCATTAAGCAAAAGCCAGAGTCATCAGATGTGTTTTGAGGGATGCTTTGAAGGAGAGAATGGAATCAGATGTCCTAATGTGTAGGGGCAGCTGGTTCCACAGTCGAGGTGCTGCTGCTGAAAAGGATCTATCCCCCCATGAGCGGTGTGATATGGGTTCATGGAGTAAACATTTATTGCTTGATCGGAGCGTGCGTGGTGGATTGTATTGTAAGAGGAGTTCAGTGATGTAAAAGGGGGCTTCGCCATTGAGAGCTTTGTAGACGATTAACATGAGCTTGTAGATTATTCTATAAGAGACTGGCAGCCAGTTAAGATTTTGGAGCACAGGTGTAATGTGAGCGGACTTTTTGGTCAATGTAACGAGACGAGCAGCTGTATTTTGAATGCGTTGGAGTCGATTTAGCTGCTCTTGAGGGGAGGCCGTACAAAAGTGAATTTCCCGTGTCCAGCCGAGATGTGACAAAAGAGTGAATAATTTGTTCAGTAGAGTTGCGCGTAAGGTATTTCCTAATTTTGCCAATGTTGCGGGTATGAAATGGGGCAGAGCGGACGGTTTGAGAGATATGACTTTTCAATGACATGGAAGAGTCAAAAAAGATGCCTAGATTACGAGCTTGAGGAACTGGACAGATTTGAGAATCTCCGATTGTGATGAAAGGAATGGTAACTTTTGACAGTTGTTGCATGCACGACAGTTGTTGCATGCATATTGCATACTTTTTTTTTAATCCCGAGTCAATTCCACTTTCTGAGAATTTGTGACAAATTAAAATAATCTATTCCGAAGAATTCAATATTATTACATAGAAATATGTAAGGTCATTCAATTTGGGATATTCCTAATGTATATATCAAATGCTTTTTTCGGTTTGCCTTTTTGGATCCATTTTGCTTTCAGTTTTCAAGCACGATCCTAAACACATACAGTATTTTCATTCCAACCGTGACCTTTGGATCTGAATATTGTATTTCGACTTCTATAGGACGTTTCAGCGCACGGCAGCGCACGGTAAAAAGTGGGGGGAGGGGGGGGGGGCAAGTGTGAAGGGGGTGGGGGAATAGGGGGCTGGTTCAGAAAATTTAAAAGACCAGTGTGGGAAAGGGCAAAAAAGTGGGGGGGGGGGAGGCTCTATGGCCCCCTCAGCCCACCCCCTCCTTCGCCTATGCGTTTGCGTCATTTGACCTCTACTACCATGCAGTATGCTTGGCGAATTTTCTTTCATATTCTCTCACGAGAATAGCAAGACAATGGGTGCTAATGGACTGAACAAAGAGAGTATGCAAGGGTTTCTGGAATTAGAGGTTCATGACATAATAATGCAAGTGTCCTATTGTTAGTAGTACAGCTGCTCAGGTTGTTGGTTCCTTTGGGTGGTGGTGGGGTGTGTGTGGGTGTGTGTGTTTGGGGGTGTTCTTTCCTTAGCGCTGTTGAAATAACTGCTAGCTCTTTTTAAAGTAAACAGTTTCGAAAAGCCAAAGGTGCAGGGTTATTGTGAAGTTATTTCTGATCTGAAATCCAGCATTTACAAGGGGGGGGGGGGGGGTAACATAAGTAACCGCGAGGTAGGGTCCAAAGAAAACTAGGCTTTACAAGGGAAAAGCTCTTGCACCCGGGCTAAGTATACAAATAGGAAGTTACATCGAGACGATAAAAATGGTAACCTGCATGTCGAAACAGATGTAAATTAGCCAATTGCTGGGATTCAATCAGCTGATTAAGTCTTTCAATATCATTATCTGCTCAAAATGGTGGTCAAACACTTTCATGTGATGTCAACCGGGGGGGGGCGCCTAATGGGTCGGCCGGCAGTGCCTTCGTCACGGTGGACGAGTTGGAATCCTTTTTGCGGGATAGTCCGGCATGTCCGGGGAATTTTGGTGTGAGGAAAGGGGAAAAAAGGGGATTTCTAGGGACGGATTTTCTCATAAGGGGGTAATCCTTACGTTTAGGACACCTCTATTTTGTACGAGTTCTGTTCAAAACTGACTTTTGCAGATGACTGTCCAGTACCAAAGGGACTTTTGCAGGCTAAAGCAGTCTTCTTTCTTCAGATACACTCATGTTAGTTGTAATTTTAAAGGAACTTTCAAAGAAAATGTGACTTTCCTACCTTTTTTTTGCAGTTCGCATCTTGCATTTTTAATATATTTTCTGTTTGTCATCGTCGTCTTTTTACCCCTCATAAATCAAAGCCCAGCCCTCTTTTT